TTTTTGATCGTAAATTTTTATTTTTGATCGTAGAAGTTTAAATTGTCGATCATGAATTAGTTAGTCACGTGTAACACAAGGTTGTCGCCCAATCACACATTTGTATTATAAATGTTGGATCACGTGACTAGATTTATTATTACATAGGGGGTATGGATAACAAAAATAGGGGGTATGAATAACAAATCCCTATAAATATTGTATGCCGTATAAATATCATGTGCTGTATAAATATAATATGCTGTATAACGACAAATATAACGTTAATCCTAATTTGAATAGATCTGATAGTTTGGATTAAATGCGGATATCCACATCTGTTAACTTTAAACCTCTTATATATAATAATAAATTGCTTATTTTATTATTGATTTCATTAATTTAATTTGTAAGCTTAATATAGTTATTCTACTATCCAATTTAGTTTTGAGTGTTCTGAGCATTGATTCATTTAGAAATTCGATACATCAACATTTAGTATAATGAACATCTAGCTGTAAAAGTTTATATTCGCATTTTATATTGATATGAAAAGCATGTTTGTTATGGTATATAGAGTATACTTATCGATCCATAAGTAATAATTCTAAGAAAACTTTAATTAATTGGATCTTCGCTAGTGTTTTTAGCCTTGATATAAATACTATTGCATAATTTATATATATTAATGCTGTGATACGTATTCACTTGCATCTATATTTAATCAAACATTATCTAAATCAGGGTTATCGATTTTTTTTTTTAGAAATGGAAGAAAGTTCACGAAAAAGAAGTTCAGAAGCTATAGAAGAAATAGAAGATAGTTCTGGGTCAGAAGAAGAAGAAGAAATTATAGCAACCAACAGTTCTAATACACCAAGTTTAACTAAAAATAAAAGAGCTAGACAGTTTTCTGAAATATGGGATTATTTTATTAAAGGCACAGAAAAAAGTCACAGTCATTATGAGGCTACCTGCTATTATTGTATTCCCAAAAAATCTTGGGCTAGAGGAAAACCAGCAAAACTAGAAGCACATTTAGCAAATGAGTGCCCAAATTGTCCTGAAATATAACACGATATTGGCAAGAAAAAGTAGCAGAAAGAAATTCAAATTATATCCGTCAAAAAAAAAATTTAACATCTGTTTCACAAATATCAATAACATCTCATTTTTCATCTAATCGTCCATTACCAAAAGCCACAATTAATCGACTTGATCAAAAGATAACTAAAGCTTGGATAATGGCAGGAATCCTTTTTGACGTAATTGAAAATCCGTTTATTATAGATATGTTTAAAGAATTTCTACCTGCATATAATCCACCATCAAGAGGAACTTTATCAGGACGATTACTAGATGAAGAGGTTGCACGAATAAATTGTGCGATTAATAAAGAAATAGATAAAGCTGATCATTTAACTTTAGGCTAGTATACATAGAATTTACCTTATATACGTATTATATACTTATATATATATTATATAATTTATATATTAATATAATAATTTATATTGTTTAATTAAAAGCCTTGGATGGTTGGACGTCACCTACAATGGAATCCATTTATAATTATATCATTACAACTGACACCCGAAAGGAATATCTAATTGGTTTAAAAAACTACTCTTCTAATTCTCATACGGGTGAATTTTTGACAAATGAAATATCAAATATTGTTGAAAGACTTGGCTCGGATAAGTTTGCAGCTGTAGTAACAGATGCGGCCTCAAATTGTAATTCAGTATGTCAGAAAATACAAGAAATGTATCCACATATCTGGAATGTTAGATGTGCAGCGCATGCAGTCAACCTTATTGCCTCCGATTTGGTTAAATTAGACAATTTAAAAAAGCTAATTGTTAATTGTGGAAAGATTAATCATTTTTTTAATTCCTCTCATTCAAGTCATTCACTACTTGTTAAAGGATTTACAGATATGAAAATTAAGGGTGGTGGTCTCAAAACATGGGTAAAAACTCGCTAGGGGTCTTTATATTTTACTACAGATTCTATGCTTCGTGCAAGACCTGTATTTGATTGGGTAAGTATAAATTAATTATGTATTTAAAAAAATATATATATATTTAGAATTGTTATTAATACATATATATATATTTTTTTTAGTTACTTTCCGAGCATAAAGAATCGATCACTAATCAAGAAATAGCTAATTGAATAGCTAATGAAGATTTTTTTATCATGTGTCAATTAGTACGTTCTGTATGACAACCTATTAAAGAAGTGATCTATGCATTAGAAGCTAATGAAGCCACGTTAGCCGATTGTTTTGCATATCTAATCAAGCTAGCCATAGCTATTATACGTTTGCCTGAACTAAATACTTTCAAGATTCCTGCAATACATATTTTTAATCGAAGATATGAAGAATTTTTACACCCGCTTTATATTTTAGCTTATTATATTCACCCACAATATAGAGGTATGATTAAAAGCTTTAGATTCAGGATAAATGAATTTTGTTTATTAAATTAAGTAAATTACTAATTAAAAAATCATGTATACGTAATCCTATTATACGTATAACTATAAAGGCAAGTTTATATTGTTTATTGTTAATTATCATCGTAGATCATAGTGAAATCGGATTAAAATGAAATTTATGGTTTCTATTTAACTTCCTAAAAACCCACTTATACTTCTAAAACCGATTTCTAACCTTAAAAAAAAAAAAGCTATCTTAAAATATTGTATTTTTCGGTAGCTTTTCTATTTTGTATAATATTAAATTTTAATTTTAATCTGATTTCATTTTAATATGCTACAATTATTTGTTCTTATTTAAAAAAAAATTATTTAATTTATAAATTTTAGGAAAAGGTCTAAAAGATAGCAGATTTCACAAAGCAGCTCTTACAGCCCTTGAAATTTGGCAAAGTCTTGGACATACCCGGTCAGAAAGTGAGGAACTAATTGCACAAATGCGAAGGTTTGAAGCAAGATTACCACCTTTCGATCTTCCCTATGCTTCAGGTGCAGACACTCCAAAAATTTGGTGAGGATCTTTTAGAAGTCAACCTAGACATTTACCTGAACTAGCCTACAGGATTTTTTCAATAAATCCTACACAGGCGAATTGTGAGCGGAATTTTTCTATGCTAAAATGGATTTTAGGTGATCGTCGAACAAGTTTGGATATAAACAAGTTAGAAGGAATGTCTAAAATTAAGTCATACTATATGACTAACATTTGGCGTGAACTAAACTTTTTTGGTCAAGAACTGACGGAGGCTGATCTCCGAGATGCATGCAATATATCTTCAGTTAGCAATATCATGGGCTATAAAGAAGATCAAGCAGACGCTAATAATGAATCTTCATTAGAAAAAACAACATCTAATGATTCTACAACGTTGTTAATTGGAGAAATTTTTAACTTGGAAACTGAAGAAAATTCAGAGTCTTCCGCAGTAGAAACTGCCCAAGCTGATTCCCTTGATAATTTGGATTATGATCCATGTGATGTGTTGAATAATTTTTTAGAACATGAAAAACAGGGAACGTAGTATAGTTTATACACTCAATTTAATAATAAAGTTCTAAACAATTTAATAAATACTGCTTTTGAAAAAATTATTGAATTATAATTGTTCATTTAAAATGAAGTAAGTAGTATATTTATTTGTTAATATATACCTTCCAACGAAGCTATTAATATTTGTATTCTTTATTAATAAGACAAACATTTAATTTTTGTAGTTTTATGAATTTTATTGCAATATTCGCACGTTTACATTTTATCTTTATTACTAATTAGAACATCAATGTGAAATTCGCATATATCATTTCTGATTAATGGCTAGAGCTTACTTGTGATTATAGGCGTGTATGACATTTATTCATTATAGCGCTAGGAAATAAAACAATTATTCGCATAGAGTAACTTTATCAATAAATCTAGTAATTCTAAGGTATATATAGTACTCATTACTATTAAACTTTCACTAAAGACAAGTACTAACGTTTATATACAGATTAGGTCTTGTGCTAATACAAAGAGGCTTCCAATACAACGCATAAGATAATTGTATAAAGCCGCGATTGATATTTGTTTCAAAATTTTTATTGTAAAAGGTTAAAACTATATTAGGCATTAGAGTCATATTAGATTATATTTTATTAGAATTTGTCACAGGAATATACATATGAATGGACAAGCGGAAATAAAAATATTGACGATTACATATATTAAAAGACTTCAACTTAAAATTACAAGGTATGTTTAATCAATATACTGTATATTAATGTTTTATGGGTTTTACTCTATAAGAAAATCTTCTGACGAAATACATATTTAATATAATGTTTTTTTAGCATGCTATCTTATATAATCCTTGAAAAACAAGAAATGGTCAAGCTATTGTTAAAACACAAAGCTAAATCTGTGAAATCGACTTTAAAGAATGTTGGAGAAAATAAACTTACTGAAATTGGTTAATTTCTAATTAAGAATAAAACTGAATATAAGGTTGAAAAAAAGAAAATAAGGCTATGAATAATTATATTTAAAAAAAAATCCAGCAGGGTATTAGTAATAATAATCCTCCCGTGATCTTGATATAGTGATCGGGGGATTAGAAAGCGAATTAAATAGATTCCGTTTAATAGATTAAGATATGAGACAAAAAAATCCAAATTCGTGAGAAATCTATTTTTTTTTTTATTCTGTATGCTTACGCACTAGTATACATTTTTTTATATATTTAATAGTTTTTATAAAACGATTTTACTTAAATTCAGAAGTAGATGTGCATTTTCTTTATCAAGTATGTTACAATTATTATTTAATAGTAATTACGAACAGATTCTAAATCTAAATCGCAAAAACTATTCGAGCTCACCGATTATCTAAAATAAGTCCCGAAATATTCTATTTTTTTAAAAGAAAAACAATTACCAATCAAGCTTCTTTCTTTTTCCTGGCTTATTTGCTTTTTTACCCTGTGCAGGATCGTCTATTGAGTTTGAAGGTTTTGGTTGAAGTTTAAAGATATCTTGTACTGTATATTGTTGTTGGTCATTGCCGCAGTTAATACAAGAACCTATTTGGAAGATTTGTACATCCATCATTCG